TCCAATTTGTATCCCCTTAATCCCCTTCAGCCATAGTACAGTGCCTGGTAGTTTACAAGTGCTGTATGAAACAAGATTCCCTTGAGTATATTCAAAGTTTAGTATAATCAGCTGTATGTACCACAACATTTCACAGGAAACTAGATGATGGGCAGCAGATACTGTAAAGAAATGATGGGTGGCAGAATGACTATCATCCTTGTAGAAACAGACAGTTACTGGTAAAAAAATAAAAATCTTAGCTTAACTCAGTATGGTATGCCATTTAAGAGGTATGCACTTTTTTATTACTAAAAATTATGACTCTTCACATTTCAGTCTGTAGTTAAGGTGAATTGAATACATGGAAAGTAGAAAATTAAAGTAACCAAAAAGGAAGGAATTTTATATTATATTTACATCTCATTTATTTTATATTATATTAGGAAAATGAATTCTCTTGTCAGAGAGAGTGAAAATGTGTGGCTTGGTCAAGTAAGCAGTCTTACATGGGATAATCTGAGGGACAAATACAAGGCATAAATTGTTGACCTCTTCAGAATAACATTTTTTTTCCTGAGAAATTAAATGAAAATTCCAGAACTATGTTCAACTGTGAGGAGGAGAAAATTAAATTGTGTCTAATCAAAGACCTCTTGGATACTACTTACATGTAAGTGTCACTAATTGCTCCTCTTCTGATATTGCAGTACTCGTTATAGTGATACTTCATAGGTTTATGGGTGGGTAGGTAAAACTATTAATTACTTCCCTAACATGTCAACTTGCCTACTGTTTTATGTACCATAGAAACTCAGCTTCAAGATAGAGGCTTCTAAGTCATATCCTGCTAGAGTCAGTTGAATTCAGAGACATCCCTGTAAGATTTATTTGGCAATAGGCACTCAACACTTCGACCCTCAGAGAAAGCCTAGGGCTACCTTAAACATTGGTATTTTGGGGAAAGAAATTTAAAATATTTTAACAATTGGAAGGATTTCTCTCAACAGGAATGAAATAATTACTGGTATAGATTTATAAAGCTAGTGATGTCATTGACATGAAAATTTATCAGACTAATTTACTAGATCAGCTCAATTTCTTATAGCAGCATTCTAAATATTATTCTTTTTTATTGGATGTTTTATTTACATTTCATATGTTGTCCCCTTACCCCATCCCCCACCCACCCAGGAACCCCCTATCCCCTCACCCCTCCTCCTTCTTCTCTGTGGATGTAACCCCTACCTACCCTCCCCCTCCCACATCCCCACCCTCAAAATTCCCACTCCCTGGGGCGTCAAGGATCTCTTCTTCCACCTATGCCCAGCAGGGCCCTCCACTCTTACATATTCAGCTGAAGCTCTGGATCCCTCCCTAAGTGCTCCCAGGCTGGTGGTTTAGACCCTGGGAGCTGTGGTTGGTTGGTATTGTTGCTCTCCTCATGGGGCCACAAACCCTTTCAGCTCCTTCAGTCTTCACTCTGACTCCTCCATTGGGAACCCCATTATCAGTTCAATGGCTGGTTGTGAGCATCTGCCTCTGAATATGTCAGACTCTTGAAGACCTCTGAGGAGACATCCATATCAGGCTCTTATCAGCATGTACTTCCTGACTTCCACAACAGCATCTACCTTTGGTGACTGCACCTGGAATGGATAATCAGCTGGAATGGTCGTCAGATGGCCCCTCGTTCAGTTTCTGTCCCTTACTTTGTCTTCATATTTGCTCCCTTGAGTATTTTGTTGCTCCTTCTAAGAAGAACCGAATCACCCCCACTTGGTCTTCCTTCTTTATGAGCTTCATGTGACCTGTGAGTTGCATCTTGGGCATTTCAAGATTCTGGGCTAATATCCAATAATCAGTGAGTGAATACCATGTGTGTTCTTTTGTGATTGGCTTACTTCACTCAGGATGATAATTTCTAGTTCCATCCATTTGCCTAGGAAACTCTCAAATTCATCGTTTTTAATAGCTGAGTAATACTCCATTGTGTAAATATACCACATTTTTTGAATCCATTCCTCAGTTGAAGGACATCTGGGTTCTTTCCAGCTCCTGGCTATTATAAATAAGGCTGCTATGAACATAGTTGAGCATATGTCCTTGTTATATGTTCGAGCATCTTCTGGGTATATGCCTAGGAGTGGTATAGCTGGATCCTCAATATTATTCTTATACAGACAAATAAGTGAAGCGATTAACACTCATCAAAGAAGACTCTTTGTACAAGAAATCAAGACCATCATAGAAAACCAAAACTGGACATAATGAAAAGATCAGTAGATTCTGGAAACCCAGCACCAATGAATACATGTACATCATAGCACCAGTGGATATACCTCAGGAAACACTTCAGAAGTGTGTTTACAAAAAGTATAAGAGTAAGTACACCTGAAAAGCTGTTTTGAAATCTGAGAAAATGGTTGCAAAACCACAATGATGGCAATATGAACGCAATGTTAATGCAATTGCCGTGTGTCATAAACACAAAAAGGTGGAATCAAGTTGTATTCATACTTTTATAGATATAAATATAAACAAATAAAATCATACATCTAACCGTATTGAAACAACATTTTGAAAGTGAAGTGCATGCAATGGACTGAATAGAGTAAAGGGAGGGCACTGTGCTATAATTTGATTTTCAATAAAAATTTAAAATAATAGTAATAATACAAACATTTAAAATTTGTGTTAATGTGAGTACAGGAAGGTCCTATAAATAATTAATGTGGTAGTTATGAATTTCTTTACTCGATATTTTCACTATGATTTCCATAACTCAATTTTGAATCACAGACTCTTTCTAGAAAGACAAACCATGAATAAAGAATGCTTGACATTGAGATAAAGGTCTTAGTTTATAAAGAGAGATATTACAACAAATATACTGTATACTCATGTGATTTTACATGCAATGCATGTGCAAATGTGTATGATCTGTGTGTGTGTGAGTGTGTGTGTGTGTGTGTGTGTATTAAAAATATGTATATCACTGTCAATGTAGTTAGAGCTTTGAGCTAATTTTGTTAGAGGACAGAGTCAAGTATTGGTCTTTTTTCCCATCTCTTCTTGACACATAGTCTCTTTTGTTTATGACTGAACAACATGTCACGAGTCTGTTAATTCTGATGTGCAAATTCTATATTCACATAGAAGCTTCTAGTTTAGAGATTCTTGTTCTACAATACTCAATATTGATATTTTAATGTAAGTTTTGATGACTCAAACTGTTGTTATAAAGCCTGTATCTCAAGTACATTACACAATGACATATCATTTCAGGCCAATTCAAATATTCTTAAAACTGTGATTCACCTCTAGTTTTATCATGTATGATTATTAATGCTGATTGTTAGTGGAATTTTATTTAGAACTATCTATGAACAAAGATTCTGGGTAAAACACTGAGGGCATATTTAATGTCATTAGTTTTTGTCTATGCATAAGTAACTGATGTGGGCAAACTAACAGTATAACTGGGCTGTACTATTCCTTAGGCATGGTTCCTGGAATGTGTAAAAGAAGCTCACTGAATATGAACGGCCATTCATGGTCCTCTGCTTCTCAAATAAGTGAACAACTTCAAAAGCTACAACCTCCTGACATCAGAACTGCTGTTTGATGATACATTGAATCCTCAAATAATGAGGATTTTGTCCTAATGTAAATAATTTCTAGAGTATCCTTTCACAGAAATAGGAATATGATTTCCATTTTAAAAATTATTGCTGTAATGCACAGAAGCAAGTCTGATTTTATTGTACTACTAAATAGTTGCTTCTTAGCCATGGGGACTGTTTTATGCTGAGAATCTAGAAGAATTTGGTCAGATAAATCCCCAACTTTCATTTCTACAGGGGAACATAGAATACCATTTTGATTGTAGTTTGGAAGAAGAAATTAATAAAATGATTCTAGAGGATCTGTCACACGAATACAGATGCCTCTGTAACAGAGGTAGAGGAGAATACTGAAAATGCCATTTCCCAAAGACTATGGAGAATCATGAATAAGGCACACTGGAGTCTAAGCAATAACAAATTTAATAAAAATTATTATAATGGGTGAATAATGTAATACACAAAATAAAATAAATATAGTGAGTGAAACTATTTGTAACAAATAATGTGGATAAATATAAAACTGAAGTTGTTTCTCGTAATAATCTCTTCTGCTGTGGTCAAGTGGAAGGTAGAAGGAAACATTGAAATAGAATGATCTGAACCTCCTTCAGTCATGAGGAAGCTTCCATTGTGGAACTTTGTATGTTGAAGATGCTCCACTGTCCCCTGCTAAATGAAACATGAATTGTCATCATTAGATAAACATTCTCAGATGAAAGGTTAACCTCACTGCACATACAACTAATTTTCTGTATATTTTCTGAACTCTACAAAAAACTTACTTGAGTTAACAATCTCTCTGATTTTGAATGGTGTTAACTGTTAAATCAGGTATGTTTTACCATCTTTATTATTCTTCACATATGTGTTGTAATGGATTCTGAGCAACTTAATATTTATACCAAATGCTAAGCATTTGGCATTATGACCTCTCAAAGGAAATGAAACAAACATTAATGCTTTTGCACAAGGACAGCAAAGCATGTTGGTACATAGTTCAATCTTGTAATATGTTTAATAGATTTTTAATCAAATAATTGTTTAAAGTGATAATTTTAAAAATAATTTCATATGAGAGATATCCTACATGACTTATGGACCATGGGAAGAAAGGTGAGAAATACAGCAGATAATAAACTGGAATTCTTACAGGAAGTCACTCTGTAATACAAACATGTGTGTAAGTATGTATGTATATGTATATATGTGTGTGGTGTGTGTGTGTCTGTATGTTTAGATAAGTTTACACACATATATTCATATGCAATTTAAATAAAAGTGTTGTTTTAAAAAAAATTTTCTATACTTTAATATCATGATATGTCCTAATGCTGCTATGATATTTAAAAATTTATGAAATGAGGGAAGGATATCCTTCCATTCATTTGATGACTAAAAAAACCTTCTCTTACATGTAGGACTTTCCTCCTGAGAAGTAGCAGATAAAATCTTTAATTCTTCAGTATTAGCATTTGAGGTTTTCCCACTGTGGCCACCTATTTTTCTTTTATAACAGGTGACTTACCATAAGCATTTAGTGACATATTTACATCATCAGATCTCTTTTGATTATCATTACAAATTGTACTGTCATCATCTCCAAATATTTCTACATAGTTGTCAAGCATGGTTTGGATAATAGTCATCTGTAACACCACAAGGCAAAAACAAGATCCACTGTCATTTCACAGAGTTTGAAAAATTGAAATCAATAAAAATATTGACATCTAAAATGATGAGGAAAACAACAGTTACTATGAGCAGATATGAACCTATGAAATGAAGTCTTTGTCTGAAAAGGAGAGTCTAAGTTCTTTGCTTCTTGCTTAACCTAGTGAAAATTTCATACATATTGCAAATAATGGAGGAACATCTAAAGTGAAGTAACATTTCAGAACTGATATGCTGCCTGAATAACTGTGAGTGAATCAAATAAATGAGTTCAAATGTTTATGGAAATTATGATAATTGACAGGGGTGTGGGAAGGAGGTGGAGTTTCATTTTGGTTTTTTGAATGGAATGTTTATCTAATTGCAGGTGTCACAATACATGATACCATCTTTATGACAGCTCTTGGGTGGTTTAAGTGACTTGGCTTTCCTGGAGGAAGTATGTTGTTGGTTAGAATTAAAGTTACAGAAGCCAGGTGCCATCTGCAGTGTACTCTCCGTGCTTCCTGTTTGCTTCCTGAGATGAAAGCACAGAGTCTCTACTCCCAGTATGGTTGTCCTTTTTCCTGCAGACATGCATTCCTCTCATAACTTTTAAGGACTGTAATCTCTCTGCATCTCTAAGTCATAAAAAACATTTACTTCTATAAGTTCCCTTAGTTCTGGTATTTTATTAAAGCAATAGAAAAATGAGTAAGAAAAGTTGGTGAGAAGATGGATCTTCCTTGAAAAAAAAAAAAAGCCTCTAACAGATTGGCCTATTATGAAGGGAAGTCTATGTGATATTGTCTTAATTAACAGTGAAATTTGTATAGTCTAGAGCTACAAGATGGTGCCACCATTGAGCTATTAGTCAAACAAACAATAACATGAAGTTACTACAGGAGTCAGAACCCCTACACAGCTTCTGCTTCAGTTTTTGCCTCCAGGTTCTTGCTCTGCTTCGGTTTGACTCCTGACTTTTCTCAGGAGTTAACTGGTAACTAGAAGTATATCATGAAGTGTAACCTCTCCTCCATAAGTTGCTTTTCTTCAGTGTTTTTTTCATAACAATAGTAGCAAATTAAGACACTTTCTAAATTGAACAAGCAAATCCCTGGTCTATTCTACTCCATTATGAGAAACATCACCATGACTTTGTTCCTGTGGACATTATTTCTGTAAATGACTAGTTTAAATGTACCCTTGTTTTCTTTTCTTATTTGTTATTGTCTTTTTTGACGCCCATCTTTTTTTCACTTTTAAAGTATATGTACTACATTGATTCTCTGTGATTGTTTCATCATGTATCCAATTAACACTCATTTTCCAGTCCTTCCATATCTACTCTCTCAACTACTTTTCACCCCAAAATTTAAAAAAATTAAATAAAGTTTTAAATTAAAATTAAACTGAGGGGGAAGGTAAGTGTGAGAATGGGACTTAGAGGAGGGTACTGAAATCAGCAGAAAAAGTCAATAAATAAACTTAAGAAGAATAATAAAGCACATGTGTTTATAGTAAAATTAAGAGCTACAGAAAACCTTAGGAACATACAACTGCGCCTGAAGTACTGAAAACAAACATTTTGTTTTACGTAAGTATGAGTTAGTGCTAAAATAGTAGAAACTATACTGTATAATCCACATTACCATTTTATCATTCATTTTATTTCATCTTTTATGCATACGTACATACACACATATGTATGTATGTATGTATGTATGTATGTATATACAATGTGTTTTTAAATGACCCAAAGTGTGGTTGCAGTAAATATTTCCTTTTCGTTTGTTTGGTTTTGTTTTGTTTTTCGAGACAGGGTTTCTCTGTGTAGCCCTGGCTGTCCTGGAACTCACTCTGTAGACCAGGCTGGCCTCGAACTCAGAAATCAGCCTGCCTCTGCCTCCCAACTGCTGGGATTAAAGGCGTGCACCACCACCGCCCAGCTTGAATATTTCATAATTATAATAATCTCACTACTATGAAGCACAACTATCATGTGCTCCAAATTATGGCTACAATACAGCACATACAAACAAAGTACTAGATAATTGACATTTTTTCAACTTTACTGTACTTTTCTTGGACTATCATATTAAGGAGCATATTGGCCAAATCATAAATATCTAAATCAATATCTGAAAAGAAAAGTTATAAAGAAAAGAAAGATAAAATCAGAAAGAAATGATTCACTTCCTTCAATCTACATTAACAATCTTCCTTTCCAAACCTTCCTGAAATAGATCAACGCATCTCCCATTCAGAAAAATAAACTCTTAGTGTGACTTTTAACATCACTGACCTTTCCAAGGTATTCCCAATTTCAGGATCACAATGAGGATGTTGCTCCCAAAGGTAAAAAACAGATCTCCTTACCTTTTTGGGGAGGTCATTCCCAAATAATGAGTTCCTGCAAGTCGGATCCCACAACACATGAGGAGCTATGCGAACAGATAAGATGTAGGTGTCTAGGTGATTCTTGGAAGAGGTTTTAATTATTACTAACACACGGATAAGATGTTTGAGCAAGACATAGTTAGGCTGTGGTATCTTCAATAGAATACTATACATGGAAAAAGGAGAATTCACTGTAGATTTTCTTACAAGTAATATTACTTACAAAACTCTAAATACAAAGAAATCGGGAGAAAATGTTCTGTAGACCAGCTCATAGTCAGAATTAAAGAGGTGTAAGAATATACAGCTAAAGTATTGCCTGAAATATTTTCTGCAAATCACTTCTCCCTATTGAATTATGGGAAATTCTTTAAAATTATGTATGAATTTCTTGGTACTACATGAATAACTGGTACCTACAGATCTCAGAGGAAGGTGTCACGTTCCCTAGAAATAGAAGTCCATTTATGTAATGTGTATGGAAACGAAGGGCTCTTAACAGTGAACCATCATTCCATCCACCATGGGGATACATTTAATATCTAATATAGATGAACCCATATACCACTCTTTTGACATTCTGGGATATAAGAAGCAGAAAGCACACTATTGACCCTATACAATGCAGTTAAATTGCTTCTGCTATAAGCAAGGCAGAGATTTGGAATCCAGGGTAGAAATGGAAAGACAAAGCTCCTGTTACCTAGGAAATCATTCTATGGAGTATCATACAGGAAAATGATTCAAGGAAGTCAAACCTAATCCTGACTCAGACTTCTCTAGGTAGTTATAGTTGAGAAAGACAAACTCAGTAATAGCTTCATACTCTAACCAATGACATATGTTTAACATGGGCAATATACACAATACCATGGTAATAATATTAGGATGCAAATAACCAACAAGTTTTATACAAACATACTACTTTTAATTTGTCTCACACAGGAACTCAAATACTCTAGGTCGACATGCACACAACTGTGTAGCATAGACTGCCTTTCAAACCATGACAGTTATAATGAAGAAGACTCCGAAATGGTGGGATTACGGACATAGTTCTATATTCTTGATTGAGAAATGGACCTGTTTATAAAGTGATTATACATGTCTGCATAAAGAAAACCTCCTGTTACAGGACAACATTGCAGTTTATAATACTGTAAATAAAAGCCTATGTACCTTCAAATTGTATAGCTTCTATTTTTGTGCTGTTCCCCAAGTGTTTACTCTAGCATTACCTTTGTATAGCAGAAATTTTTCCAAAGAGAGTGTCCTCATCTGTGACACTAAGCCAATTTTCATATAAATCAGAAGAAAGCAAGCTTCCTGGTATATTTTTAATAAAATCCTTTGTAATGAAAAAAAGAAAAGAAATGGTAATGTACATTGTAGAAAGTACTTGGGAAAAAATTTTTGTTTAAAAATAGCAGTTAAACCAATGATTCTCAACTTGTATGTCACAGTCCTTTTGGGGGGTCACATATCATATGCCCTGCATATCAGATATTTCATACATTACACATTATAATTCAAAATATTAGCAATATTTCAGTTATGAAATAACAGCACAATGATGTCATGGTTATGTATGACCACAACCTGATGAACTGTATTTATTATTGGCACAGATTTAGGAAGGCTGAAAACCACTGATTAAGAGTTCCTTAAGAGATTGCAAACCTTTCAACTAATCAGAATCTAACTCAAAAGCGGAACCTACTAGCAAGAGCTTATGTGGTCTTACCTACAACTAGAATCAAAGGAACAGAGTTCTTGATGCAGAATAAATAAATCTACTGTCTGTTCAAATTGCCTTTTCAGGCTTCCAGTCCTCACTACTACCTGCAGAGATCTGCACTCCACTTCACAGCCTAAAGTTCTGTCCATATCAAAGGAGGTCAGCTCCTATGTGGGACGTCCATACAGGAGCCTATCATAACTGCTCTTTTAGAGGTGTCAACATGCAGCTGACTGAAACAGATAAACTCATAGCCAAACATTGGATGGAGCTCAGGGACTCTTATGGAAGAGTTGGGCAAAGGATTCAGGGCACTGAAGGATATAGGGACTCGCAGGACAACCAACAGCATAACCTGGACCACTGACAGCTAAAAAGGACTGACCAGCAACCAAAAAAATTATACAGAAGCTGCATCATTACAAAGGGCACATATGAAGCACACGTGCAGCTCAGTCTCCATGTGGGTCCCTCAACATGTTGAGCAGGCCTATTCCTAAAGCTGTCGACTGTTTCTGGAAACCCTTCATAGACTGGTCTCAGTAGAAGATGTGCTAACTCTGAGGGAGTTGATGTGCCATGGGAACCTAACTTTCTCAGAGGAGAAGGGAAGAGACTCTGTGAAGGGTGTAGATATAGGGGACAGTATTTAAAATTAATGAATGAATAAATAAATAAATAAATAAATAAATGGTAGCTTTAATAACAATAATAATATAAACAATAACGAGAGAAAAAATAAACAGTATGTATTAAAACAACAACAACAAAAAGTGTCATACTGAAAATACTCAACCATCAAACAATGGCAGGACCAGAAAATGTCTCATTTTGATTGTAGAATTTAGTGAATATGTACTTTGAGTTCACAAAAAGTAAAGTTGAAATATACACATACACATCTGCTTAGAGGCTCACATGGAATTGTGGTGAACTTGTTTACTTGATCACCCTGTATTACATTTGAGAAGGTCTCACAGTTTCACATCTAGTCCTTAAAATGTGTAAATATCCAACTAATTAAATTAACTGTAAGCAGCAGCTTGCTTGAAGGAGAGAAATGTGTCGTTTTTCATGAAATAAAACAATTAGCTTTCATGTTGTACCAAGGACAGCAAATCAGATAAATGGAAGATTCCCTGATGGTGCTGTTCCTTTAAATTGCTCTGAATACTCATGGCTACCTACAGTTACTGATCTTCACTTTCCTTCCCATGATGAGGTCCCACATTTCTGGCTATGAGACACACATACACTTGGCAAGCTCAAGGACCAGGACGGACCATAGGGTACCATTGCCTCATGCTATTAAACATACCTACCCTCAGAACTTTATTTTTGCTCTTGATGTCTGGGGCCATTGCTCCACAATCTGCAGAGTAGCATCCACAGATCATGGCCCAAATAAAAATAAAACAATGATATTTCCTCCAGAGTTACTGCTACTCACTCCTAAGCTCACTGTTCACTGGTAGACTCTTTGGAAGTAGAGTAGGCTAATATTTTATTATTTCACATGGGGTTAGAATGGCAATATCTGACAAAGTGAAAGTCTGCTTTATTTTTTGGTAGAGAAGGAAAACAACTTCTGGAAAGAAGGCAACATCCAACTCTCTCATAAACTGTATGTTTGTGGTTGACTCCCTATTTTGTACTGCTGTTATTTATGAGGTATAGTTTTTTAGTAAGTATGATTTAAGATGTGTATTTTGTAAAACACAATATTACCACTATTATTGCTTGTTCTGTTATTAATTCACATAGTGTAGTTAGTAGACCAAATCAGTAGGAATATCTGTAATGTCAAAACAAAGACCATCTGATATATAAGGAAGTTAACTTCCAACCAAAGGTGTTTATCTGTGTCTTTTTGATGAATCTTTCATCTTGTCAGACTTATATCAACCATACTCTTATCCAGAAGTTATGTGTCCATCGTTCAAGGAAAGTGTCATCATCAGGTAATCTCAAGGTCAGAAAGCACATTTGCATCTCTAGAAGGATGCCTAATATTGGTGATGCAAAAACCTTCCTTACCTTTAAAACTGAAGCTATAATGAGCACAGATTCTTGATTCCAGTTAACCTGTTGTTCAGAGTAAATCTTATCCCTTAGGGACCAGTGTGAATTTTCTGTAAGAGTCTAAATATTTGGTCAGAGTCTTGTCCCTTTTCTGCAATTATGGATAGCATGTCCTGTGTGGGATAAGAACAAGCTTATATTATTACATATCCAAACAGCTGAATCACAAATATGTCTTTTAAAGTGAACTAGAGCCATGGCCGTTATGGGTGCACAGCACAACACAGAGGAATGAAGAAGACATTGAATGTTGTTCTTTTTTAGCTGTCAAATACATTTCTTCCCTAATCCATTTTTCCCACTTGAAACATCAAGGTTTTCTTGGAAACAGATAATTCTCAAGATTGAATCACACTTCTGTTCCCCAAAGCAGTTAGGTGAATGTTCCTCTCTTTCTTTTACTTTTCCTCCTTGAATATCTTCTCAAGCATGCCCTTCTAAGTTATTATTGAGATAAGCCTTTTTCAGAGATCAAAAGACAATTTTACTTTTTCTTTCCTGTTCTCTATTATTAATCCTAACGATTGTGTTCTTAAGAAAGCATTCTTTTCTCACTATACTTTTGAGAATTTTTTTCCTTTTTCTGTGACTTCTTATATTCAACTGTCTATATCTAAAGATGCTATCACATTTAAGAACCAAAGCAAATTTCAATCACTCTTGCATCATTTCAATGTTTAAAAATGATGACCATACCCAGATTTACTCCATACTTTCTCTATTGTCAATTGATTACATAATTGCAATCATTAATGCCAGAAAATTCTGCTCTAAAATACCTAAGGAATGGGCAGTAATTTTCCAGTGATTAACATAATAAACTTGGTCACATGCAGCATAAATTCCTGCCAAAGGCATAGTGCTAAAATAGATGATGCAGAGTAAATTAATATTTCCAATGGAAATCTAGTAGTGTATTTCAAATAGAATACACCATATTAGACGGTAATTTTATATAGTAAACTAGAATAAAGGGATCAATATATAGCAAAGAACAATGAGTATTATCTAATTCATTGAAAATACCAAATAAAGGTCTACAGATATTTTTACTTATAAGATTGAGTAATCTCAGAAGCAACGATATTAAGTTCGACTCTAGAGCAATATTGAGTCATAATGCACATTAAAGAATTGATAGTTGGAGAATCAGCCAGAAATTTCAAGATTCCTTTAGTCCAACAAGCTGGTGAGTTTGGGTCTTTGCTGAAATCAATGCAAAACATGAGAATACTAAGTTTTCCCTTTTTTATTTTCATTTAAATTAAAAGACTCAAACTTCAGAGGGGTTTATTTCTGCTTTAAAAGAATCTTTTTCTCATGAATAGGTCATCTATATATTCATTAGTTGGATGAAATAATTTAATTAGAACTAAGGTTCCCAGAAATTATGTGAAATAGGCCAGCTGTAGAAACCCAAAATGAAACTCACAAATATCGGAGTAGGCATCATTCTGTCCAAACAAACAATGGGTGAAAATTTATGAAATATTATTTTTGATGGTGCTGTTGTATTTTGAGAGGGTTTTTGTTGGGCTGTATGCACACTGCATTCTCGATTCTCTGAATCTAGTAAAGAAGGAAAATCATTATTTGTTGTAATTCAACTCAATTAGCCCTTACATGCCCTTCACATTTTATATCCTACATGACTTACACATCATCACAAATACACAGAAAATAACTAATCAGTACTCTAATACTTACAATAATGACACTGTTTCATAAGGGACTGGATACCCACTTGCACATGGCCCATACTTCTGGAATAAAAAGGAAGTTCTTGATTTTGCCTTGAAAGCTATGCATGTGGTTATGTGAGTCAAGCAATAAAATAATACAAAACTTTTCATACACCTGTGTGAGTTTCTTATTGAACAGCCATGAGCAACTGTAAGTTAGCAACAATATCTACATTTCTCAACCCAACTTACCTCTCTGCACTTCTATTGCAGCCCTTGGCACTCCCCTGCCCCCAATCTGACCTCTAAGCTCAAATCTGAGATCATAGTGTCTCTGTCTCCCATTTGGGTATATTATGCTATATTTTAAGACTTGCATGAGAGAAAAACATGATGGCACATCCCTTTATTCCCAGAGCCAAGAGGTTCTCAGTGACTTTGAGGTCTGCCTAGTCTACAAAGTAAGTTTCAAGACAGCCAGAGCTTTTGGGTAAAGAGAACTCAAATTGGTATTGAATTGCTATTCCATGTATTATACACATCTACATTAATATTCAATATATCAAAGTACTTGACATATCCTTAATTTATTAACTAATTTCATTTCTTGGATGTACCTCAGACATAAACTCAGGAGAAGTGGAAAGAGGTACCAAAATTTGGAAGCAATTTCTAACAATAGGAAATTATCTATAACACTCAGGTGATGTTTACCTTCATATGGTTTATTAAATTGTTCTTTACTGTTTTTTAAAAATCATATTTTCATTCCTACATTATTCTAACTATTAAGTTATGATAATAGAACATGTACACTATCTTTTTAAAAATAATTTCATATCCAAGATATCCTACATGACTTATGGACCACAGGAATAAAGGTGAGAAATATACCAGATAATAGTCTGGAATACTTGCAGCTGCTAAATAAGGAGTATCATTGTCATATACACATGCATACATACAAATATACATACATACAACATACATATGTACATAAATATATATATATGAGTGTGTGTATGTGTGTGTATATATGTGTGTTTGAGTATGTGTGCATATATATATATATATATATATATATATAATATGCATATAATTTAAAGTTTTGTTTAAAAATTTTTCCAAACTCTAATGTCATTATAGGTCCCAATGTTGCTATGCTATTTACAAATTGATGAAATGAGGGAATGATATCCTTCCATTCATTTGATAACTAATTAAATCTTCTCTTAAATGAAGGACCTTACTCCTGAGAAGGAACAGATAAAATCTTTAATTCTTAAGTAATAGCATTTGAAGTTTTCCCACTGTGGCCATCTATGGCTTTTTTCATAATAGATCACTTACCAACAGTATTTTGTGACAGCTTTATATCATCAGATCTCTTTTGATTATCCTTACAAATTGCACTGTCATCATCTACAAATGTTTCTAGGTAGTTGTCAATCATGATTTGGATAATAGTCATCTGTAACACCACAAGGCAAAAACAAGCTCCTCTGTCATATCACATAATTCACAAAATTCAAATAGATAAAAACATTGAAATTTAAAAGGATGACGAAAATAGAAGTAATTAAGAGCAGATTTGAACCTGTGAAATGAAGTCTCTGTCTGAAATGGAGATTCTAAGTTCTTTGCCACTTACTAACCTAGATAAAACTTTATAACTATTGAAAATAATGGAAGAACTGTTAAAGCAAAGTATCATTTCAGAACTGATATGCAGCCAGAATAACTGTGAGTGAATCAAATAAAGTAGAGTAAAGGTTTCTGGAATTGGTGGGTTTTCTTTCCCCCAGGGATATGGGAAAAGGTGGGGTTTCATTGTGTTTTTTGGAATGAGGTGCCTGTCTAATTGCAGGCATCCTAATATATGATACCATATTTTTGACAGCTGTTGGGTGGTTTAACAGGCTTGGGTTTCCTTGAGGAACTATGTTATTGGTTAGAATTTAAGATTGCAGAATTCAGATACCATTTGCAGTGCACTGTCTGTGCTTCATGTTTGCTGCCTAAGATGGGAGCCACAAAGCCTCTGCTCCTTCTTTGATTGTCTTTCCTTCATGTAGACATGCTCCTCTCTCATGACTTTGAAGGACTGTAATCTTTCTACATCTCTAAGTCCTAAAATACATTTACTTCTATAAGTTGCCTTAGTTCTGGTATTTAATTAAAGCTATAGCAAACTGACTAAGAGAAGAAGTTGATGAGAAGTGAGGTTTTAGTTGATAAAGTGCCTCCACCAGATTGGCCTATTGAGGAGGTGAGTCTATATAGGGGATATTGTCATGATTAACAATGGAATTTGTAGGGTCAAGAGCTACAGGATGGTGTCACTCTCGAGCTATTAGTCAGACAAAAAGATATGAGGTATACTACAGGAGGCAGAACTCATACACAGCTTCTGCTTCAGTTCTTGCCTCCAGGTTTCTGCCCCGCTTTGATTTGGCTCCTGATTTTCTCAGAAGTTAGCCAGTAACTAGAAGTATATCAGGAATTTTAACCTCTCCTCCAAAATTTGCTTTTCATCAGTGTTTATTCATAGCAATAGTAGCAAATTAAGACACTTTCTAAATTGAACAAGTATTCCCTGGGCTATCCTACTCCACTGTGAGTAACATCGCTATGACTTCCTTCCTGTAGACATTATTTCTGGAAACTAGTAGTTAAAATATACTCTTCTTTTCTTTTTTCTTTTTTTTTTTTTAGGTTGTTGTTTTGTTTTTGTTGTCCTTCTTATTTCATTTTTAAAATGTATGTTCTTAATTGATTCTCTGTGAATTTCTCATCATGCAACCCAATGACACTCATTTTCCAGTCCTTCCATATCTACTCTCTCCCCTACTCTTCACCCCAAAATTTAAAAAGGTTAAAAATTAAATAAAATTTTTAATTAAACTGAGGGAGTAGGGAGTAGTGAGAATGGGACTTAGAAGAGCGTACTGCATTCAGGAGATAAAGTAAATAAATAAAGTCATGATAAACATTAATGCATATGTGATTTTTATAAAATAAAGTGCTACAGAAAACCTGAGGTACATAGGTCCATAAGACTGTTCCTGTAGTAATGCAAACATACACTATTCTGTTTTATATAAGTATGAATTAGTGCAAAAATAATAGAAATTCTATTATATAACATACATTATCATTGTATCATTATTTATTCTATTTTAAATTTCATAATATATATATACATACATATACATATACATATTTGTAAGGAATGTGCTTTTATATGACCCAGAGTGTGGTTGAGGTGAATATTTCATAATTATAGTAATCTCATTACTATGATGCACAACTATCATGTGTTCCAAAGTATGGCTACAGTACAACACATACAACCAAGCAAAGTAACCAAACAAGTAGATTAGGTTATCAGGATTTTTTCCAGCTTCATTATAGCCTTCTTGGATTACCATAATGCCAGCAAAATAATGTTGGCTAAAATATCAATATCTAAAATCAATATCTGAAAAGAAAAATAAGACAGAAAGAAAGATAGAGCCAGCAAGAAATGATTCACTTCCTTCAATCTACATTAACAATCTTCCTTCCCAAACCCTCCTGAAATAGATCAATGCAACCCTCACTCAAAAATATAAATCTTAGGGTATCCTTCAATATCACTGACCTCTTTGAGGTATTCTCATTTCCAGGATCACAGTGAGGACCTTGTTTCCAATGGTAAAAATCAGATCCTCTTACCTTTTTGGAGAGGTCACTCCCAAATAATGAGTCCCTACAAGTTGGATACCACAGCACATAAGGGGCTATTCGGACAGATAGCATGTAGGTGTCTAGGTGATTCTTGGAAGAGGTTTTAATTTTTACCAACACACAGATAAGATTTTTGAGAAAGATGTAGTTAGGTTGTGGTATCTTCCGTAGAATACTACAAAAAGAAAACAGAGAATTTACTGTTGATTATCATACAAGTAATGCTACTTACAAAACTCTAAATACAGAGAAATATTGGAGGAAAGGTTCTGTAGACCAGATTAAAGTATTATAAGAATTAAAAATATTGTCTAAAATATTTTCTGCAAATCACTTCTCCCTATAGAATTATGGGAAACCTTAAAAAATTATGTATGAATTTCTGTGTACTACATGTATAACTGCTACCCACTGAACTCAGAGTAGTGTGTCAGGTTCCCTAGAAATAGAATGAATGTAGATTGTTACAGTCCATGTGTGTTCTGTGTATGTAAACAAAGTGTTCTTAAACAGTGAACCATTATTCCAGCAACCATGGGGACATATTTAATATCTAATATAGTATGATTCCATGTAACACTCTTGTGACACCCTGGAATATAAGAAGCAGAAAATACACTATTGACCCTATACAATGTAGTTAAAAAAGCTTCTGCTGTAGGTAAGGCAGAGATGCTGGAATCCAGGGTAAGAAATGGAAGAAAAAAACCCACTTTTACATATGAAATCATTCTATGGAGCATCATACAGGAAAATTATTCAAGGAAGTCAAAGATAAAGATGAACTCAGTAATATTAGAAAGATGAACTCAGTAATAGCTTCATACTCTAATCAATAAAATATATTTGGCATGGGCTATATTCACAATACCATGGTAATAATATTAGGATGCAAATAACCCACAGCTTTTATACATGCATAATTCTTTTAATTTGTCACACACAGGAACTCAAACCAACACTGTAAGCTGACCTGCACACAAAGGTGTAGCACACATTGTCTTTCAAACCATGACAGTTACAATCTAGAAGCCTCTCAAGAGGTGGGATTACAGACATGGTACAACACTCTTGCTTGACAAATGGACCTGTTTATATAGTGAATATACATGTCTGAGTAATTGAAACCTCCTGATATGGGACATCAATCCAATTTATAATCTTGTGAATCAAAGCCCATGTGCCTTCAAAATACATAGCTTCTATCTTTGTGCAGTTTCCCAACTGCTTACTCTATCATTACCTTTGTATAACATAAATATTTGCAACCAGAGTGTCTTCATCTTTGACACTAAGCCAATTTTCATAGAAATCAGAAGAAAGCAAGCTTCCTGGTATATTTTTAATAAATTCCTTTTTAATGAAAAACAAAGAAATATAATGGTCAATTTACAATGTAGAAAGTATCTGGGAATCAATTTTTGTTTAAAAATTGCAGTTAAGCCAGTGATTCTCAAATTGTATTTCACATCTTTTGGGGGGATTAACATCATCATATATCTTGAATAATAGATATTCCATACATTACACATTATAATTCAAAATAGTACCAAAATTTCAGTTATAAAATAACAGCAAAAAGATAGTATGGTTAAGGATGGCCACAGCATGATGAACTATATTAGTGGCACAGTTTTAGGAAGACTGAGAACCACTTGTTGAGAGTCTGCATCCTTGAGAGGTTCCCAACCTATTACCTACCCAGAATCTTTGCTCAAAAGTGGAACCTAAGAACAGGAACCTATGTGTTCTTACCTAAGACTAGAATCAAAGAACCAGAGTACTGGCTGCAGTATCAATGAAATAAATCTATAGTGTGTTCAAATTGCCTTTCCTGGCTTCCCAGTCCACACTGCTACCTGCAATCATAGATATGCACTCCACAGATAAAAGTTCTCAAAGGAGGCCATCTCAAAGGAGGCCAGCTCCTATGTGGGACATCCAGACAGGAGCCTACCATAACTGCTCTCTGAGAGGTATCAACAAGTTGCTGAGAAACGGATAAAAAGATCTTCAGAACAAATATTAAATGGAGCTGAGAGACTCTTATGTAACAGTGACGAAAAAAACTCAGGACACTGAAGGAGGTAAGGATTCCACAGGACGACCAACAGAGTCAACTAACCTAGACCATTGGGAGCTATCAAGGACTGACCACCAACCAACAACAACATACAGAAGCTACATCATTACAAATGGCACATATAAAGCACATGTGCAGCTCTATTTCCATGTGAGTTCCTCAGCATGTAGAATGGGGGCTATCCCTAAAGCTGTTAACTGTCTCTGGAATCCCTTCACAAACTAGCCTCAGTAGGAGTAGATGTGCTAACCATGAAGAGAGTTGATGTGTCAGGGTTCAAAGATAAGGGTAAAGGGGAAGGTGACAACACTAAATATTTAAAATGAGTGAATGAATGAATGAATGAATGAATGAATATGAAGCAATAAAAATAATAATAAAAAACATTCAAAAAGAAAAAACATTAACTATAATGAATCAACAACAATAACAAAAAATAACTCAAATTGTCTTCCTGAAAAAAATCAACCATTAAAATATGGCAGGGCCTGAAAATGCCTCATTCTGATTGCATAAATTGGTAAATGTGTACTTTCAGTTCACAAAAAGTAAAGCTGAAATACACAAGTATACTTGTGCTTACAAGTTCACCTGGAAGAGTGGTGAACTTGTTTACTTGATCACCCTGTATTACATATGAGAAGGTCTCACAGTTTTATATCCAGTCCTTAAAATGTGTAAATATTCAATTAATTAAATTAACTGTAAGCAGCAGTTTGCTTGAAGGTGAGAAAGGTATCTTTTTTTTTTTCACGAAATAACACGATTAAATTTTATGTTGTACCAAGGATAGCAAATCAGAAAAATGGAAGATTCCCAGATGGTATTTTGCATTTAAATTGCTCTGAATATACATGACTACACAAATACACTTGGCAAGCTCAAGGGCCAGTAGGGCCCATTCCGTACCTTTGTCTAATGCTATTAAACATGCCTACTCTCAGAACTTTATCTTTGCTCTTGATGTCTGGGGCCATTGCTCCGTAGTCTACTGAGTGGCATACTCAGATCATGGTCCAAATAAAAATAAAACAATGGTATTTGCACCAGAGTTATTGCTACTCACTGCAAGGTTAAGTGTAGCAGACTATTTGGATACAGGTTAGGCTAATACTTGTTTACTTGATACGGCATTAAGAGGGAAATATCTGGCAAAAGATATTGCTGCTGTATATTTTAGTAGAGAAGAAAAACATTTCATGTATCTACTGGTCAGAGGGCAGCATCCAACTCTCTCATAACCTATGGTAAGTTTGTGGTGTACTACAAGTTTTGTACTATAGTAATTTATGAGGAATAGTTTTTTGGTAAGTATAATTTAAGACATGTATTTTGTAAACCACATTTTTCCCACTATTATTAGTTGTTCTGCTATTAATTCACATGGTATACTTAGTAGGCAAAATCAGTAGGAAAATCTGTAATATCAAAACAAAGCCTGTTTGATATATGACAAAGTAAGCTTCCAAATGAAGGTATTCATCTGTATCTTTATGGTGAATATTTGAGCTTGTCAGATTTTTACCTACCATGCCTCTTACCCAGAGGTCGTGTGTTCATCATTCAAGGAAACTGTCATCATCAGGTAATCTCAAGGCCAGAAAGCACATTTGCATCTCTAGAACAATGCCTAATGTTGGTGATTCAAAAACCTTCCTTACCTTTAAAAATGAAGCTACAGTGAGCACTGATTTTTTATTCCAGTTGATTTGTTGTCCTTTGTAAATCTTATGCCTCAATAACCAGTATGATTTTTTATTTAAGTATTTAAATATTTCGTCAGATGCTAGTCCCTTTTCTGCAATTATGGATAACATATCCTGTGTGGGACAAGGACAAGCTTATATTATTACAGATCCAAACAGCTGAATCACAAATATGTCTTATAAGATGAACCGGAGCCACGGTAATTATGGATGCACAGCACAACAGAGTGGAATGAAGAAGACATTGAGTGTTTTTTGTATTTAGCTTCCAAATATATTTTCTTCCCTAATCCATTTTTCCCAACTTGAAACATCAAGGTTTTCTTGGAAACATATAATTCTCAAGATTGAATCACACTTCTGTTTCCCCAAAGCATTTAGGTGAATGTTCCTCTCTTTCTTTTACTTTTCTTCCTTGAATATCTTTCTTAAGCGTGCCATTCTAAGTTACTATTGGGATAAGTCTTTTTCAGAGATCAAAGGACTATTTTATTCTTTCTTTCCTGGCCTCTATTATTAATCCTAACAATTGTGTTCTTAAGAAAGCTTTCTTTTCTCACTATACTTCTGAGACTTTTTTTCCTTCTTCTGTGACATCTTATATTCAACTGTCTCTATCTAAAGATGCTGTCACATTTAAAAACACAAGCAAATTTCAATCATTCTTCCATCATTTCACTGTTTAAAAATGACCATACACAGATTTACTACATATTTGCTCTATTTTCAATTGATTATATGATTACAGTCATTGATGACTGAAAAATCTGCTCTAAAATATCTAAGGAATGGGTAGTAACTCTCATGATAAACTTGTTCACATGCAGCATAAATTCCTGCCACAGGCATAGTGCTAAAATAGATGCTGAATAGTAAATTAACACTTCCAAAGGAAATCTAGCAGCATATTTCAAACAGACTAAGCCATAAGAGATGGCAATTATATATAGCCAACAAGGATAAAATGATCAATATATAGCAAAGAACAATGTGTATAACTAATTCACTAGTAATATCAAATAAAGATCTACAGATATTTTTAATTATAAGATTGAATATTCTCAGAGGCAATGATATTAAGTTTGACTCTAGAGCAACATGGAGTCATAATGCAGCTTAAAAATTGATAGTTGGAGAATCAGCAGGAGCCTCCAAAGATCCCTTTAGTCCAACAAGCTGGTGAGTTTGGGTCTTTGCTGAAATCAGTGCAAAACATATTTCCTTTTTTTTTCATTTTTCTTTAAATTAGAAGACTCAAATATTAGTGGGATTTATTTCTACTTTTAAAAGGATCTTACCCTCATTAATAGGTTATCTATACATTCATCAGTTTGATGAAATAACTTTCTTAGAACTAAGGTTCCCAGAAATTATGTGAAATAGGACAGCTGTAGAAACCCAAAATGAAACTCACAAGTAGTGGAGTAGGCAGCATTCTGTCCAAGCAAACAATGGGTGAAAATTTATGAAATAGTTCTTGTGATGATGCTTGTGTGTTCTGAGAGGGTGTTTTTTGAGTTTTATACCCATTGCCTTCTCGTTTCTCTGAATCTAGTAAAAAAGGAAAATCATTATTTGTTGTAATTCAAATCACTGATCTCTTGCATGGCCTTAGCATTTTATATTCTACATGACTTACTTATCACTACAAATGAACAGAAAATAACTAATCAGTATTCTAACACTTACAGTAATGGCATTGCTTCATAAGGGATATAGAGTTGTATATGGTTTATATTTCTGGTATAAAACATAAATTCTTGGTTTTGCCTTGAAGGCTATGCATATAGGTGTGTGGGTCAAGCAATAAAATAGTACATTTTTTTGTACACCTGGGTGACATTCTTACTGAACAGCCATCTGCAAATCTAAATTAACAGAAGTATCTGTACTTCTCAACCCAACTTGCCTCACTGTACTTCTATTACAGCCCTTGACACTCCTCTGCCCCCCACCCGACCTCTGAGCTCAAATCTGAGATCATAGTGTCTTGGTCTCCCATTTGGGTATATTGTGCTATATTTTAAGACTTGCATGAGAGAAAAACATGGTGGCACATCCCTTTGTTCCTAGATCGTGGAAGCAGAGCCACGAGGATCTCTGTGAGTTTGAGTTCTGCTTGGTTTACAAAGGAAGTTTCAAGATAGCCAGAGGTTTTAGATAGAGAGGGCCCAATTTGGTATTGAATTGCTATTCCATGTATTATACACATCTAAATTAATACTGAATATATCAAAGTAAGTGACATATCCTTAATTTATTAATTAATTTCATTTCTGGGATGTACCTCATACATAAACTTGGGAGAAGTGGAACGAGGTACCAAAATTTGGGGGCAATTTCTAACAATAGGTAATTATCTATAACACACAGGTGAAGTTTTCTTTCACATGGTTTATGAAATTCTTCATTGGCATTTGTTATAAATCATATTTTCAGTGTTAAATGATTCTAACTTTTAAGTTATGGCTGCAGAACATCTATACACACCTATTATGCCCTCGGTGAGAAGAGGAGCAGGTGGAATTCTTGGCAGTACATAATGGCTAGGGGTGCATGTCCTCCCACTGGGGCAGCTGCTGACTCCATGTTCTATTTCTTTTATGCTCCCGAAGATACATGGAGTATTCTCGGAACCCGAGGGCTTTCGATGTGGATTAAAAAGTGGAGTTTCATACCCTAAAACCAAGTCTACGCTGAAAATTTTTGGTGCATTTTCGATCAGAAACTTTATGAGAGAAATCTGTGACAAAACAAGGCAAACACAGAGGGTCTCTGTCATTCTGCATGGTTGCAAATCACATTTTACCTATGAGTTTTGGAAGCTAAATATATGTAGCTGAAAATTCTGGAAAAAAAAGTTCATGGTTATAAAATTAATTGGGGGAATTTTTTTGTTAGATGATTAAGAGATCAGTTGTTCAACTGTGCTCATCACAGTGCAATAGTGTATAAAAGGATGATTTCCAGTTTTCACATTGTGATGACCAGTATGTTATACATACTGATCACTTGAGTAACTTTGGTTGCCCTTTGACACATTCATGGATTGCCTAGTTGTAAGAATGCTTATAGAATGACACAACTAAGGAGAGAAGATGACCTCTGAATGTATGAACCATTCTTCTGAAAGTTCCCAAGGGATGACTAAAAAGCAAGAGACAGGCAAACACATCATCTACAGAGTAACATTCACATGTCTATGATAGCTCAATACAGATGTAGTGTTAATAGATTGATCCTCATATTTATTGTGTTGGGTGGTATTTGAAATAATGCCTATTTGGAGGAAATTAGATAGTTATGGATCTACAATGAAGGTTCTTTGGAACGGTGGTTTTTCCTTCTGATATTTAATCCTATACAAAATGAGGAATAATTTCTTTTCTCGGTTAGGCTATCCTACAATATATTCCTGGCAGATCCAAGGGTAGTACGCCAATTAATAATGAATCAGAAACTCAAATACTGAGAGTCAAAATAACCACTAGATTTCAATACTGTAGAAGATTTGGTGATTCATTATAGTATTTGAAAGGCAACTATCATGGAAAAGGTACATTTTAATTTCTCTAAACAAACCATAACCAGCATCAAGAGGCCAAGGAAATATTTAATCACACTAATCAAGAGTTATAATGACCATATCTGATAAAAACAGTCCAAATTATATTGTCTTTGTTTTGTTGAACAAACCACCTTGAAAACAAGTAGAATATCACACATTCTACACTGATTACATCAGAATTAATTCTTGATTTTGAACCTGGAACCCAGGATGTTTTTAATACTGTCATAGCATTTTTTCTCACTGGTTAGTCTAAGGATATTGTAAATCACAATTGACAAAAGACTGAGGCATTGAGCTCAAATAACCATTTATATTTTACTTACCTATAATGCATCCATGATTCTTCCTCTCCAGAACTCCACCATTTCAAGGTGTACTTATTTTACAAAAGTGAAACAAAACCAAGACTCAAACCATCAACAACAACAACAAAATAATCCCAAATCTCAGAATAATCCTGTATTTCTGTCTCATTGTAAAGGCTTGCCAAAGCTAGGCTTAAAGATCATGTCTAATTACCTTTTCAGCAATATCATTTGCCAGGACATTATTGCGGTAGCAGGGAAGGCATAAGATATATGGTGCTATCCCAAGAGATAGATTGTAAGATGACATGTGGTTAACAGAAGACTTTCTTGAAATTTTATGCAATATTTTAAAAACTTCTTCCAGAAGAGTAGCATTAGGTTGTGGCAGTTTGTCTAAAAGACTGAACAAAGAGACCTTTATTTTACAACACATTTACTAAATTTGTAAATATGAAGAAAGGAGACAGAGTAATTGTGCCTTATGTATGGACCTCCATAAATAAAATGAAAGTAAGAATATATACTGGAAATACTGCTTGAAATGATTCCCCAGATTTTAGGGGGGGGGGGCGAATGACAAATTTAACTGGAATACAAAGCTGAGATTATAAGCATGGTCCACTGTGACTCCCCAAGTCATACTTAAGTTTGAAAATCTCTTCCATGTTTGTAAACAATTGAAAACATTTGCTGTCAGTCAGAATTTTTAGTGAATAATTCTGTGATATATAATCTCTAACGAGTATAAGCAAATATTACTTCTATTTTGTTGATGTTGTGAACACAATACACCAGCCATTACCTCTGCACTGATGCTAATTTTTCTAGGTCATTGACATTTTGAGTTACAGCAAGCCACTGGTCGTACAAATTAGAAGTCAGCAGACTTCCTTTTATATTTCGAAGAAACTCCTTATAAAGAGAAAAAATATTTTGCAGAAAATAATAAATTATGGAGATTACACAAATCATAGTCAACTCTAAAATCTAGTTGAGTTCCAACTTTCTCACAGCTCCCAGACTTTCCCCTAGTTAGAAACTTGACTGGTAAGTCGGCCCAGTAAGTTTTGTCCATCAAAACTGGAAAACTAAGAGCAGGTTTTCAGTTGCACTTGGATTGAAGAAAAACCTCTTCTTAGCTAAAAGTGTCTCTAGTGGACCACTGAGCAAACTAGCACACATAAAAATAACTACCTCAGATCAAATAATATTTTTCAATGCCAGAAATACACAGTTATGGTAACTACAAAAAGACAATCATAGTAAATTATTTATTATCTGATTTCTGATGTGTGGTATATCATGTCTATTACTGAAAGCATGAAATCACATGAGGTCATGGTTCTTAGAGAAGGTCCTATCACTGTTTCACTAAACAAGCATGATTCCCAATTCTGTTCTAAATATTTAAGCTAGTATTTACTGATAATAAAGCCCTTACCCACACATCAAAGAAGGTTCTCTTGGAAATGGATGGAGACTGTTACAGAAAACCATAGCTATCCAAGGTAAAGAGATCAAAATATCCCGTGGCTACACGATCCACTGTGTATATATTACATACTAACTCCTGAGCCATAGTCTCCAAACATTGGTTAAAAGAGTCAGAACGATTACACACCAGAGGATCAGGAAATCTGCTTTGACATTGGGCCTCCTAGAAATGTGGGGATGGCTTCACTTTTGATAGTCCAACAATTTAATGTGCTTGTTAAAACAATTTCTGAACAAAACATCATCCATGTAAGTAACACTAACTGAAAATAAGTGTTAGTTAGTGTTTCCCAAAGGGAGCCACCTAATTTGTAAACCAATCACAGCTGGTTAGCTCAGGAAAAGTCCATATAGTATCAAGAATAATAGTTATATCAAGTTGTTTGAACATATTTATGGAATCAGTATTATCTCATATTTATGGAATCAGTATTATCTATATAATAATAACAGTAAATGAAAAATGGGCCATAGATTTTAGCAGAAGAGGGAGATTGAGGGAAAACAAACTTAGAGCAAGGGAAATAAAGGAATGGAATGAAGTAATTGTATTTGAATTTTAATAATAAAATAAAAAATATCATTTTATTGTACTGAACATATGACAAGAGTGATTAAGAATACCTGTTGCACAGACTTCAGGACCCGCATTTGGGTACCAATATTTCATAAGATAGACACAAGCAGATCATGAGATCACACTTGGTATGTGAAGCAAAAAGATAAATGAAGGACTCACATACTCTATACTGAGGAAGAGAATGAAATATAGTTATATTACTGCTCATTCTGACTGGAATTTTGTCTGAGTCCCAATTCCTTATGCCATGAATAGCAGAGGAATCTTTGACCTTACCAGTTTTCTGTCATATGTATCTACCATCACTCAACGGAATGAATGACAAAGGAAACTACTCATGTAGACTCAGAAGAATTCTGAGGGTTGATGATCCAAGGATGTTCCCTACCTTTAAGAGCCACGCAACTACATGCACCGATTGATGTTTTATATCCACCTCTTCCCCAGAATCCAACTTTTCCATTAGTGTTTTGCACAATGTACCATCTGGAGATATGATAAATATGCCCTCAGTTATGGGTCCTTTCTTGTTTATGAGGGACAGGATGTCCTGAGAGGAAGAAAGGGAAATGCCTGTCATGTGTCGTCCACCAGAGAGCACTATTTGCTCGTGGGAAACAGCCCAACGGTGTGCACAGGAGCAGTGCAAGGGCTGTCATGGACAAAGAGGACCACAAACAGGTTTGGTGCCTCGATCTTTTGTTATACACATCCCTCTGTAATATTAACCTTGAAATTTCAGGCAACACTTACTTTTTTATTATTATTAAATTTTCCTTAGGAGAGCCTGAAATGAAGCATATGAGACATACCAGAATTGATGTGGGAACATTGCCATCATGACAGATAGAACTCAGCTCTTTTCCAAAGAGGTTTCCTCTCTTATTAACAGTGTACACTTGGTCCTGTTGGGGCACAGAGTCCCTATAGAAACACGATGTTATACGAGGTCTTTGTTTCTTATCATGTCTTCCTGTTGCATCTAAGGAGAAGAGGATATCGTTACTTGGAATAGTGTAATTTATATAGCTCTTTCACAGAACCAAATTTCAAATGTATAATGTCTCCATTGTAATGGGTTAGTCATACTGTAGTGTGTATATATTCTTATTCCCTATATACTCTTTTTAATCTTGGAGATGTGTCTAAAAAATGTTCTAGTGTTCTCTAAGACATTTTCCAGTGGGAATTCTCACAAGATGATGATGTCTAAGTCTCATTGCACTTTAAACTACATGATATCTAATTGAACAAGTTCCCTTAACTATGTACAGAGAGTTTCAGTAGTTATATCCGTTTCCATAGACACCCTCACTTTTATTCACATCAATCTGATTTCTATTCTCTTTAAATGTCATAGTGAAGCTCTTCCCATTCTGAGATTTCTTGTTGAACTTTTAGAAGTACCAATGTAAATTTATATCTTCATCACTACTTCCCATTAATTAGAACATACACATGATTATTTTTTCAAACTCTGGAGTCTGTTTTCAGCAGTGTAAGTTCAAAGCTTAGATCAGAGTTTTCTTCTTCTCTTCTAAGTCTTCATTTTGAAAATAGGATAATAAATAAATCTTATATATGCTACATAAACAAAAGTATTAAATGTAACCAAATGAGTCATAAGATATATAAATAAACATTCTTTCTCAGGGTAGAACATACTGGCAATTTACCTAAAACAAAATAGACAGACCTGAAATTACAAGTAATATGATACAGAATGAATATGATGTATAAGTTTCTGTGTGTATGTATGCATTAACTTCCACATGAATTCAAGTGTTTTTCTATCTATCTCTATCTCTTTATCTCTATCTCTATCTATATCTCTCTCTACCTCTCTCTTTCTACCCCTCTCTACCCCTCTCTACCCCCCTCTCTCTCTACCCCTCTCTCTACCCCTCTCTACCCCACAACACCCTTCTCTACCCCCTCCTCTCTACCCCTCTCTACCCCACAACACCTCTACCTCTACCCCTCTCTACCCCTCTACCTCTACCTCTACCCCTCTCTACCCCTCTACCTCTACCTCTACCTCTCTACCTCTCTACGGCTCTACCTCTACCTCTATATCTATCACATATATCTATATATAATCTATATCTATAGCATATATGTTTATATATATAAAATGTTATATATCTACTATATAATGGGTACTTTAGAAAATCAAACAATTAAAGGAAATGAGGAGAGGAAGGAGTATGTAAGAGTAAAGGGGTAAATAATGAAATTATGCTATTATTTTTAAAAATCCTTTAAAATTTTTCAAAAGCCCTAAAACTTCAGAATGAGGTCTCTTTGAAATCTAGATGCAGGTGTTAAAGACACACAAAAATATATTTTCTGAGTGAATTGAAATGAGATTAGGGTCTGAGCTAAGAAACTAATGTTACTTCTATTCTAGTCTGAAACAGATTATCAATTCCATACAAATAACTCTTCTCATTCTCTTGCAATACAGCAGTTTAAGTGAAGTACTTAGGCCATTTTCTACTTTGATCATGAAGCTATGTGAAATCATATTCTATTGGGACAAAAGATGTGTGCATACACACTTATGTGCATGCAGTGGTATCTTGGCATACCAGCTTATGTTGACTGTCTGTCTGGAACAAGTGGAATGTTCTCCCTATAATCAAGCTTGATATCTGAATATAGAGATCTCAAGTTGGACCTTGGAAATATTGTTTTGTTTTAGGTTTGTTTTCTAAACTGTCCCTCCCTCAAGCAAGAAAATAACAACATGCATTGATAGTTTATGCCAAATTGAAAAGGAAACTGAGATAATACTTGAAGGAAGGTGGACGACTCACTTTGCTGCTGGTTTCTAGCTGAGTGTCTGGGCTTTAAGATGAACAGGCCCAGTGAATCCAAGTTTTGGTCATTCACAAACAGCCCAGGCAAGGTGGGAAAAGCTGTGAAAACTTTAGAGTTCGATCTACTGAAGGTATTTTGAAAACTGGTCATTATGATGTCATGTGGATACTCATAACCTATAGGAAGAAAATAAGAATACAAATTTAAATATGAGTGTAAGCAACTCTTCCAATGAGATCTAGCATACACAGCTGTTCTATGTCATTAATCTTCTGAACAATGTAGACTGCACGCCCTAAGAATTAGGAGACTTACAGGGATACTATGACAAAACAAGGATGTGAAAGCTGAGAACTCTATAATCGAGAAAAAATTCAATTTGTCACTTTATTTAGACCCATCAGAGCACCTTGTATGGCAGACTTTTGCTGTGTTCTACTTTGAGAGCATTGAGAATTACTTCTTGTAGCCTTGATATCAATAAGGTTTTTATATAGTAAGAATCTTCCTTTACTTGTCTAGTTTAAATTAATCAATTTATTTTTCTGCATAGATAGATAGATAGATAGATAGATAGATAGATAGATAGATAGATAGCCTGGCACTCTATAAGTAATTCTATTAGCCAAGTCAAGCACTTTTTTATCCAATATTTTTTCTCATGTTGACAGCCACATTCATAAACACTCTATTCCATTCACAGTTTGAGGACAGGGTTTTCTGGGATCAGTAAAGTGGAATCGTCTCTGCTTCCTCCCTTTGCTAATCTCCTTGACCTTTGACAGGCTGATGTTGCATGCTGTACAGAACACTGAGCCCTTCTGGACACACAAGTTTTTTTGTACTCTAGTTGGGGACATGGACCTGGAAGAATATGGCTTAATAATGAGGCAAGATGAAGTTGTATGTGATAGAATCTTTTCTCAGTACATCAGATAATTTTTAATCTGAGGGTTAAGAGGAGTCACCAGAGGAAAGTGTACAATCACAAAGTTGGATGAGACAAAACATGCTTTTTCATAGAGGCATATGAACAACAACAGTTGAAATAAACTCTTTGTTATCTGCTACACCTAGGGAGGACATGTAAACACATTCAAAGAACAATTCAATGTCTTTAAGGAAACTGCAGACACAAGACATTTTTCTTGTTTGTGTGTGTGAAGTTTTCACACAAGCAGTAAGAGTAAATCTTTCTCACAACATCATTTTTAGACTGTTCCAACAAACCCTGAATCTGGGCCAGAATTACAATGACAATATTGGAATTAAATCCAAGTGTTTGATGTGCTCTCCACTGTTTTAAGTTATTTATTCTCTAATGAAACATTAGAGAGTGTGTGCTGTGTTGGGGATATCATTTTCTGGAAAGTATAATACCTTGACTTTGTCAATTTTTGATGAACCACCAATATGATTAATGTTTTGATTTGCCTTTGCTTATGAAATATATAGAATATAGAATGTCAGTGCATTATTTCATCTGGACTGAGACATATGGCTACTTATACAATTTTCATTACAAAACAGAATCAACATAGTTTGGAATAATCAAAATACTTTCTACAGTTGCCAAATTTCTTCCTGCTTACGGAAAAACTTCACACACACACAAAGTCTTGTTGCAGAACTTTCCTTAAAGACACTGAATTGGTTTTTGAATGTGTTTTCATTTTAATTTTTGACTTGTTTCTTATTGAAACTGTTTTGCTCTGATGCATATCTTTGTACCATACTGATCATGATGTCACTGAACATCAGACAAGGGAAATTGATCCGCTGAAACTGGATATATCGATGGCTATGTGCTATCATGTGGGGTTTGGGCATTACTAAAAAGTTTCTTTTGCCAGTAGTACTTTCTGCAATGATTACCAAAAGATTTTTTTTCAGTTCTTTTCTTCTGAAACAATATATCCAGAAATTTATTTTGTTTCTCTTTTTAGGAATATTATGTTTCTCCAGTGGAAAACACAGAGGTTTGAGATTTTTTTGTCACATTTCAAACTCTTTGATAATGTCATGTTGTCATGTGCCTGAGACTATATTAAAGTTATTAATTATGAATTTAATGAATGAAATACTCTTTGGTTATTTTGCTTTATAGTGTAGTTATATTTAAGACTAAATAATGAAAACATTAAGACTTCAGGGTTAGACTACTGAACTCAGCTAGTCCTTCATTAGATTTCCCTGTTATTTACCTTGGAGTGCTCTTGGAGCTTCCTCATGGCCAGGACAGAACCACAGTTGGTAATCTTCAATGTTCTGGGAACCAAAAAGAACCTATCATCACAAATAATCTGACAGTAGATTCTTGAAGAATCAACACTAACAAAGACAAATATTATTACAGCATGACTCACAGAGGTCTCTCTAGTCTGTCAGTGGAATATTGAATGTTGATTTGACATGAGCACACAACCTCCTACCCACATAGTCATATATTCCCAGTGACTCTGAAAACTTGATAAAGAACATTTGAAAGATTAAAAACAATACACTGGAACATGCACACTTATACCTCCACACAAAGAGAAATCAATTCAGAGAGAAATGTGGGAGCAGAGGAATTATATACCTTAAAGAAGTTCAATAAAATTTTAATGAAGAGAAAGAGTGAAAGAGAGAAAGAGAGAGAGAGCGAGAGAGCGAGAGAGTGAGAGAGCGAGAGAGCGAAAGAGAGAGAGAGAGAGAGAGAGAGAGAGAGAGAGAGAGAGAGAGGGAGAGAGAGAGAGAGAGAGAGAGAGAGGCAGAGAGAGAAAGAAGAAAAAAATCTTGTTGCCAGTAAGATTGGCAACCTTAACATCAGTTGTTTGCATATGACCAATCAATCTCACTTTATTACAATGCATCTATATTATCTAGTGATAGGAAAAGTTTAGCTCAATATCATTGGGCTATGAGTTTGATTTCTATGGAAATATAGACTAGAAATTTTAAAAAGTCCCTCTCAAGACTATTATTATATCTTAGATGTGTTTAGTTGCAAAGGGAGAGAATTGTAAATTATGATTTGTAAATTTATCATGATTAAGTTCCATTTGTATAATTTATATGCATACATGTTTGCACACATGTGGATCTCAAAAACAAAATTCAATTTTAAGTCAAAGTAACTTGAAAATAACTTACAGGCATTCTTATCATTGGTAGTAACTTCTTAATTATATCATTCACCGTATCCATGTTTGTTGCTGTTACACATAAAGGCTATGAAAAGTAAAGAGAAGAATAATATAAAATAACTTTGAAGCTCATGATAACAAAATTAGTTATTGTCTAATCATTACTTATAATCTACAGTCTGTAATGGCAACTTTAATATAGAATAAACATATTGTTTTCTTCCCTTGAAATAACTCTCACATTTAGAATCTACTCCAGAGTCCTAAGAAGACACCAAGAAGAAAATAGCATGAAATCAAATAATAGAAATCTGAGAAGATACAACTAATATACTGAATTCTAATACATTACCATAGTGTATGACAGTGAGTGGATAGCTATATCGTTATAGTTTCTATGGTATCAGCTATCTGAAATAAGCTTTGTAAGTGTCTATAAAACTATCCCTTAAATAAGAAACAGCACAAGTGCCTCTTCGCTACCCAGAAACAACCTTGAAACAAGACCAAAGAAAACCTCTTAATAAGTCATCCTTTCATGGTATTCACTCACTGATTATTGGATATTAGCCCAGAACCTTGAAATGCCCAAGATGCAACTCACAGGCCACATGAAGTCCATAAAGAAGGAAGACCAAGTGGGGGTGATTCGGTCCTTCTTAGAAGGAGCAACAAAATACTCAAGGCAGCAAATATGGAGACAAAGCGAGGGACAAAAACTGAAGGAGGGGCCGACTGAAGACCTTTCCACCTGAGTATCCATCCCATGTGCAGTCACCAAAGGTAGATGCTGATGTGGAAGTCAGGAAGTGCATGCTGATAAGAGCCTGATATGGATGTCTCCTCAGAGGTCTTCAAGAGTCTGACATATTCAGAGGCAGATGCTCACA